AGTGTACAGTGTAGACCCCTCTGTATAGACCTCTGCCCCAGTACAGACCATCTCCCCTATACAGCACACCAGTAGTGACCCCCCCCCTCCTTAGTATAGGCACATCAATACAGACCCCTCAGTACGGATTCCTCCAGACAGTCATTCCCCCCTCCCCTGTACAAAACTTTCAGGAAAGTCATCCCCCCACCCCCCTCTTTCCAGTACTGATCTGCAGGAAAGGACTCCCCCTCTCCAAACTTTCTCACCAGACCAGAAACAGTGACAGTTCAGAGAAAGTGAAGTCCTCCTCTTGGCTCTGTCATATGACCAGAACAAGGAAGGGGGCTTCCCCTCTGCCACTGTCATGGAAGCGGAAGCACCAGGTACCAAATTGCTTGGGGTGTTGTGTTCGCCTGCATTTTTTTTTTTAGTTTTTGTGTTGCATGGCGTTGCAGTGACAGCTTCCTGATGTGATAGCTTAGGTGGGTTTGGACTATGATCTGAACATGCCTGAGATCATCCCTTATGTCCATGTGTTAATTCATCAAACTTGTCTCTAGAGACAGGCAACTGTTTGTTTTGCTTCAAAACAGCATCCAAACATGCCTTACCATTTCCTCTACATTGCAAATGTGCTGATCCTAATGTGATGAAACACCTCTTCTAGAATGGCGAGTTCTCTGTTAATTGCTCTGCTTGTTTGTGTCTGCATCAGATCTAATTACTCTTTAGACTTTAGCTCTCACCTGCAGAGACCAAGGATTGTGGGATACATAGTTTCTTCAAAGGAAATGTCTATTAGAGCCTTGATGTCTCAATAAGCAAAACCCACAAAGACATTATAAAAAACATTGGGGGCACCTATGTATGAAAGCATCACTTGCGCTACACGTTACATATTGCCACACATGCCGCAATGAGAGTAATAAATCTACGACCATTATTCATGGTCAACTCCAGTGCGATGACCTATGGGTGCTTTTAAAGCATCATCTATGGAATTATAGGGTACCAAAGTTCTTCACTGTTTTACGGGCATGTTCAATTTTAAGGTTTGATATATTGGATCTGTTTACTCGGTGCATCCTCATTTTATAACTTCCCCAAAAAATTGGGTAATACATAGCATTTGTTGGAAGTTGGTTACAAATGACAAGGTGAAGGCAACTGTATTAAAAACATTCTTCTCAGTTTTACAAAGAAATCTTCCTTTAGAAAGAAATCTTCCTTGAGAAAAGATATACAAGATATATATATCCAATTGTCGGTATAGGCGGGAGGTGACGTCACAAGTACAGGGACATTGCTACAGAGTGTGCACGGTCATCAGATTATTCACTATTAAATACAGGTTAGTTGCCAGTTTCTAGGGCCCAGCCTGTTCCTTGCGCTGCTCCTACTGTACTCATCATTAGGCACACATATGCTTGCACTGCATTAGTAACATTGAAGCAACACAACTCAGAAACAACATGCAGCAGGAAATATAGTAAGTGTGCAAATATAAACATAAAATAAATGAAGTGTACGTATAACAATAAACCAAGACAAAGGATTTGCACTGTTAGGTTTAATTTTTGCACAAAGGCTGTGTGTGTGAGTGCCGCAGGAACTGTTAAGAATCCGCAAAGGTGCTTCATGTGTGGCATTTACCAGAGGGGCAATTTGAGCCACTGTGAAGTAGTGCCAGAGGGAGGGTACTGCCAATCCACCAGCTAACCATTGACGATATAGCGTCGACATGGACAATCACGACCTGGAGTCAAACCAGATAAAGTTCAACAGTTTTATGTTGTAGAATCTTAAGAATATGGTTTGGTATGGGGACTGGCAGAACGATGAAATAGTACACAGTTTAGATAGGCAAATACATTTTATGGTGTAGATTCCAGGAGGCGAGAAGAATGATCAAGTCCCTAAATAGAGATACTTAACCTTGTAAAAGGTTTTGAAAGAGAAGACCGATTTGACACCTAAGTGAGGTAGGCCAGGCAAAGTGATAGTTGTCTTGAACATTCCCAACTTGGTCTGGAGTCAGGGTTAGGTTTAGTGCCTTAGATTAAGCCTCCTTGACTTGTAAGTTTGAGATGCGCCCGAAGACCGTGACAGCCACAAAGACTGGGGAGGGCAATATGGGGAGAGCAGATGTATATTAAGATGTCATCAGCGAAAAGCATTCATTTATGATGTTCCCCGGCTATCTCAAGGCCACGGATGTCCGGGGTTGGCCTGAATAATCATGACCAAGGGTTTAAATGCCAGGATGAACAGTATAGGGAGGAGGGAGCATCCCTGTCTCATACCCTATTCAAATTGGGAAGGGGCCTGAGGCGAAGCCTGCATATATATGTCAGGGTGATTGAAGGTTGGGCATAAAGAGCTGAGATCCATGACAGGAAATGTTCATCAAAACCCCACTTCTGTTGGGCAAATAAACATATAATCCCAGGAGGGGGTATCAAATGCCTTACGGACATCAAGGGACAACGGCATAGCAGAGTTGGTGAGCGATTTATCTAGGTAGTTTAGCTGCTCTGTGTACATTGTCACCCGCTCCTTTCAGCGGGACAAAGGCTACTTGGTCTTTGTGGATTGGTTTACCCAATAATGTGTTGTCGGGTTGCCAGGATCTTGACTAAAATGTTCATGTCAGTGTTTAAGAGGGATATAGGGCGATAGTTAGGCCATGAGTGAGGGTCCATGTCTGGTTTAGGAATCATGACCACGTTGGCCTTCAGAGACTCCTGAGGAAAGTTTCCCTATTTGAGATGGTTAAAAGTACACTGCAATTGTGCTGTAAGGAAGTCATACCTTATTGTAGAATAAAGAATTGCATCCATCCAGGCCAGGTTGTTTTAGGACATTGAGACTTTTGATGGTAGCCTGGACTTCGTTGGTGGTAATGTCTGCATTTAAATGTTCCTGGTAGTGCACAAGGATAACAGGAAGTCAGGCTCTACTACAGAACGCCTCAGTCCAGGCCCCAGAGGTCAAGTATAGATGAGATAGATTGTGTTTCAAATTCAGCCAAAGCTCCCTTTGGGTTGCTTGTGAGAGTGTGCTGCCTTGTATGAAGAGCGATTGGTTTTATCTGCATGGCGAAGCGACACAGACGTTTCACCAACATAGTGTTAGGTTTATTACTTTGGACATAGAATTTTTGGTTGGCCCAGCCTATTTGCCTTTCCGAGATGTTAGTAAAACAAAGCTCAGCTCTTGCCTTGTCCAGGCGGATTTCAGGGAAGAGATCACAATTTGTCCATCACTTCATGGTGTGAAAGTAGCGAATCATTCAGAGCCCAGTTTGATGGTTCATATTTCTGTATCAGAGATCGTCAGAAAATGAAAACTGGGTCATGATCTGACCAAGTCACAGTAGGAGTACTTATCCATGCTGAGGTGAGTGATTAATTTGGAGTCTCGGCCTACGAAAATGGCCACTGTGGCATGAGTGCCAAGTAATTCCAAGAGGTAGGAAAGGAAGGGTAGGTTGTTGACATTGGGAGCTTAATAACAGAGGATGGTCACTTCAGCAGCCTGATGGATAAGACAGGCAAAATGGGTGGAGGAGCAAAAGACTGCAAAGAGTGATCAGAGTTTCAATTGGAGCGCTGGGGAAACCCTGTGCTTAGAGAGGGACAACAAGAATCGATTGGGCTAGGGACAGTATGGTATAGTCCAAAGATCATGCAAATGTAAGCTAACAGTGATCTGCCGATAAATATGTAATGGTTGGCTGAGGGTCTGGCAAATAAGGTTTAATGTTGAAAAATGTGAAATAATGCACTTGGGAGCGAACATTCATGAGTGTTACTCGCTAGAAAGTGAACCTTTGGGAGAATCCGTGATAGAAAGCGATCTGGGGTTCCTAACAGATCACAGGCTCAGGCGTGCATTTCCAAGCTGCAGCAAAAGGGTATTTACTTAGGAGATAAGACTAATTCTACCACTTTACAAAACAGTGGGCCAACTACATCTTGAATATGCTGTCCAGTTCTTGTCACCAGTCCACAGGAAGGATGTGCTGGAGCTGAAAAGGGTCCAGAGAAGAGAAACAAAGCTAATAAGGGGACCAGAGGACAACTAAAAGCATTAACCTTATCCTCCCATTAACCTTATCCTCCCTGGAGAAGGGAAGATCAAGAGTGGATATGCTAGCGCTATACAAATATCTGAATGGTGATTTCAGCATAGGGAGAAAACTATTCAGTCTCGGGTCACTTTAAAAGACACATAGCCACTCAATGAAGTTGGAAGAGAAGCAGTTTAACCTCAACCTGCATGAGGGGTGCTTTGCATGCACTGCTTCTATTGTGATAGTACAAAACAGTAAGGAGTTGAATGAAGATTTAAAATAAGTGTTAGCCAAGAGTAATTTCTCCAAAAGCCTTAGGACATCAACAAAAACTGGGGACTCCCTAGGCATAGTGGGGATGCCAAGGGGGCGTGTCCTTTAACTCTTTTCCAGTGTTCAATCACCTAAAAAGGTACCAGCTTATAACCCAGGGTGTATGAATATTCAGCCTGTGCCTTGTACTGTGCAAATAGGAGACAATTTTCATGATCTATTTCTATTCTAGCATGTATTACTATTTAATTTATGATTAATAATTGCTTTTGACATATGTAGGAAAATGATTTGCCCTGGGAATCAAATATACTAGGGGTACACCAATGCAAGGGGGGGGGGGGGGTAGTGCTCTGTAGTTCACTAAGGTGATTTGGGCAAGGCTAATCATGCTTAAGAGAACACTGCAGAGTACATTAGAAGACAGGACAGCAGTGGATATATGGCCGAATCATCTGGCATTTTGTTGTATTTGTTAGTTCTGTAGAAAGGAATAATTATCTGGTACTGCTCATGTACATGTTACTACATTAATTGCATACAGAGGAAATTACCTTAAAATAACATATTCCTTGTATGGTATTGGAGGCATGCTCTCTGTAGAGTAGTGGTAGATTTCAGTATCTGCATCCAGAGTATCTAAAATTTTGGACTGTTGTAGACTTGGATCCCATGTATGCTGTTCTCTAAGAATATATTGTAAGGCCACGTATGGTGTTGCATTAAGTTCAATGGACACTTTCCATAACCTGATCGGATAATCATTACTTTCCACCTGAGAAATATACACAAACCATCAGCATTACAGATCTCCAGATATTTGGATCTATAATTTTATTCCAAATCTATAGAAACAATTGAGTACTGTCCATGATACTTTTTTTATTTGCACTAACATACAATTTTGAGGACAAGCTTTCGGGGTATGTCCCCTTCTCCAAAGTCTAAGCAGTACTGTACAAATCACAAAGTTTCAGCAGAATGTTAGAAGAGATGAAGAAAAGAAGAAAAAAAAGAGGCTATAGATAAGATACAGCCAAAGCGAGGGGGAGGGGGAGGGGATACTACACTCACACAGAGGGAGTCAAGCTAGCTAATAGTCATAAAACAGTCATAAGACAACCCCCCAACCTCAGAAATAAACTAATCAGTAGGAAACTTCCTTCTGATCAAGATGTCACAAATAATGGAAGCACACCCTGCAATAAGAAATGCTGCAAACTGTGCAACCAAATCGATCCATCAAAAAGTGTCAGACACTCAAAAGGGATCTTCAATATTTCTGGCTCATACAGCTGCACCTCCAGTAATGTTGTGTACTTTATCCAGTGCAGAAAATGCAGCAAAAGATCTTATGTTGGCAAAACAGGACAGAAGTTGCAAACAAGGATGAATTTGCACAGACATACCATCAATGAACATAAAGAAGATGACCTCTGCACACCTGTGGGACACCATTTCGCACAACCAGGCCACACAATGGGAGACCTCAATACTTTAGTTCTTAAAGGAAATTTCCAATCCATCCAGGAAAGAAAAAACTTTTGAACTAAAAATGATAATTCTATTTGACACAAGAGATACCGGCATTAATTTGGACATGGGATTCCTCACTCATTATCCAACAGTTTTATGACTATTAGTTAGCTTGACTCCCTCTGTGTGAGTGTAGTATCCCCCCCCCCTCACTTTGGCTGTATCTTATCTCTAGCCTCTCTTTTTTTTTTTCTTCATCTCTTCTAACATTCTGCTGAAACTTTGTGATTTGTACAGTACTGCTTGGACTTTGAAGAAGGGGACATACCCCGAAAGCTTGTCCTCAAAATTGTATGTTAGTGCAAATAAAAAAAGTATCACGGACAATACTCAATTGTTTCTGTAGCAAATGCACTAATACGGCTACAATCACCTCATTCCAAGTCTATGAAACACACATTTGAAAACACATGAATTTCAATAAGCTACTCTGAATACTGTAATTTGATGTCATACCTCCGATGCTTACTGCTAGACTGAAGATTATTAGCACAAATCAGAGGCAGCTGCATCTATTTGTTTTAGGACATTTCATTATAGCAGTAAACAGCATGGACCTTACTCCTTGCAAGGTCTGAGCCGTAAAGAGACTCCAAAATTGACAGGTTTCTACTGCATACGCTAGCATCAATGGTGTGCTTATACATACACAGATACACACACACTTTGTTTTTTTGCACACACAAAAAGTTCAGTTTTCTTATCAGATTAATTGGTTTCACATGCTATTGTCTAAACAAGTGTTTGCACAAGGCCAGTTGTGTTCTCCTTAAAACAATAGGCAGAAAGCCTTGTACACAAGATGAAAATATCAGGTGAATCCTAGTCTTATATCGAAAAGGAATAGGTTACTAAAAAGGTACAAAAATTTTTGTAAGGCAGAATACAATGTTCTGTTATGATTTATTGTATTGTAATGTATTCTTTTGTTTCCGAACATGCACAATCTTGGTCACTCTATTTTTTATGGATGAATACTGTACTAATTAAGTGAAAAATTGTTTGTTCTGTTAACGTTCAAGAAATATATTTGTGCATGTCCCTTCGGATAATTTTGCATAAACTATCATTGGCTCTCGAAAGGTGTGAATTAATAATCAGCCAGCGCTCTCCAGAGCAAGCAGCTTGCTATGGAGGCAACCAAACAGGCTCCCTCCCAAGCCGCTGCTCTGAGTGTCCCTTCACACACAAAGCCACATTTTGGCTCTATCCTCATTGGCTCACTGGCTGTGATTGACAGCAGTGGGAGCCAATGGCTCCCACTGCTGTATCAGCCAATGAGGAGGGAGAGAGTCCCTGGAGATCTGAAGCTCTCGTACACATCGCTAGATCATGAATGGGCTCAGGTAAATATTAGGGGGGCTGCTGCACACAGAAGGTTTTTTAACCTTTATGTATAGAATGCATGAAAGTAAAAAAAAAACCTTGAGCCTTTACAACCACTTTAAGACAGCATTGGAGTATTTACAGTTCATCTACAGTAAACCATTTAACAAGAAAAAAGTACACATCCTCAGTCATATCCACTGTTTGGAGGAGCTCTGGTCAAATACTGGACCCAAGGTTTACAGCTGCTTCATCTGAACAAAATCTCCAGCTACAGTGGTAAGTGATATATTCATTGCCATTCAGCTCTTGGGGATGGTGGTGGGCATCACTGGCCAAACATGGCCATAACTGGTCAATCACATCATTCACCATACCTGTCCTTTTGTTTACAAACCAGCTGTCAGCTGGGAATCTGTCATTATTATTTTTTTGTCTGGCATATTTTTCTTTTGGCAGTCAGCAGGTATTATTCATCATGATTGGCAATGGATTTACATCAAGGGACATTTTATGTTTTCTTCCAATTGCAAAAAAAAAAAAAAAAAAAAAAAAAAAAAAAAAGATTACAATATAAAAGGAAAACAACATAAAAACAGCATTTCAGAGTTTAAAAGAAAAAAAAAAAACTGTTGGTGGTAGGTTGCATTGAAGTGTTCAGTAGTTTTTTGCCATAAAAGTTGGCTGAAAATGGTTCTCCAGTGAAAGGCACAGCATCTTCAAAAAAAACCAGGTATATTTTACAAACCTTTTTGTAAGCTAGTTCAACATTTTCAAATCCTGCACATGTCACCCAGCTACGGAATCTGTCCTTTGCGTCTCTCAGAAGATTCTGCATAGAGTTTTCCAGGGATATGAGAGTATTGCAATAAGCGGCCAATGTGTTTGTGCATGTGTCTTTGGTCACTTTAAAAGGTGAAGATATTGGCTGATGACAGAAGTCATGGCAGTAGTCTGGTACCTTCAAAACACAAAAAAAAAAAATACATTTTATGTAAAAAAAAAAATACATTTTATACATAAAATCTTTCCTTATAGCTGAGCTTCTCCATGACTTATCAGTTTGCTTGCACCTTTCTCCAAAATCCTTTTTATGAACTGGTGACAAATCTGAACTGCATATTCCAGATAAGGTATTGCTAATGATTTGCACACGGACAAAATTATGTCCTCTCTGCGGTCTATACCTTGTAATACAAGAAAGTCATTTCATTTTTTGGAAACCGCAGCTTGGCACTGCATACTAACATATTAACTCTATGATCTACCAGAACACCCAAACAGTGCATTAAATCTGCTTGTAAGTTGGAGATACCCTATAAGGAAGTTATTTCACAACATAGCTTGGTGTCATCTACAAAAACAGAAATGGTACTTTTAACCCCAAACTCTATATCATGTATAGGTTGGTTAAACAGTAAAGGGTCCCAACACTGAAACTTGGGGTACATCACTGTGAGGGGGGGGCGGTGTCAAACACTTTTGCAAAGTCCAACTATCCACAGCCACTTCTTTGTCTAAGTTTTTTCATAAAAAGAAATCAGACTTGTTCAACAAAATTTGAACGTTCATGAATCCATGCTGTCCATTGCTTAAAATATGGTTTTCTAGCAAAAACTCTTCCATGGGGTTTTTTTTTTTTTTTTTTATCAAATTCTCCAGTATTTTCATAACTGAAGAAGGCAAACAGGTCTGTAGTTACTTGGTAAAGACTTGGATCCTTTTTTTCAATATGCACTGCATGGGCCTTGGGCTATTCCCATGGTACAAAGCCAGTCATTAATGAGTACATCTATTTTCCAATTAATCGAAAGCCTTCTTTTTCTGTTTATATTAGTAAACAAAGTGTAAAAAAAAACCCCAAAAAACTACAAGTGTACCAGATTCATCCTTTAGCAAAACTTGGGAGTAGATTGTGAAAAAAGGGAAAACACCTCAGGAGAAGCTTTTTCCATTACCCACTGCTCTCAGTTTCACCTTATCTATATATTTTTATGCGATGATGCTGTATAACACAGTCATAGCCAAAAAAAAAAATGGCACCCCCGCATTTCGGTCAGATAATGCACCACTTCATCCAGAAAATTGTTGCAATTACAAATGTTTAGGCATTTTCATGTTTATATTTTTAGTTTGTATTGGTATGACACAAAAATGTGGAGAAATAAAAAAGCCAAATCTGACACATTCCACCCAAAATTCCAAATATGGACTGGACATATTTATTGGCCCCCTCAATTTAATATTTGGTAGCAAATGGAAAAAATTACAAATCAAAAATCGCTTCCAGTAATCATCAGCGAGTTTCATACACCTCCCTACTGGAATCTTCTTTTGCCAACTGTTCCAGGTCTCTCAGAATGGAAGGGTTCACCACATGTGCGCTATGGGATTGAGATCTGGACTGGAGAGTTCAGTACTCTCCAGCACTTTGTCTGAAACCATTTCTGGGTGCTTTTTGGAGGTGTGCTTTGGGTCATTGTCCTGCTGTAAGACTTGTAAGATTCCATGCTATTCCACAATTTTTGTTCTCAAATCCTCAGACAATATACCATCTTGCCAAACACTTATAATTAATTTCTACCTCCTGCATATTTATATTTTCAAGGATTATTCTATACATTTTCCTCTGTTTTTCCGCATCTATTGTAACTCCTATTTCTCTTTCCCATTTTTCTATATATGGAGGACTTATATCTGCATTTATTTCAGTGAGAATCTTATATATTTTAGAGGTTCTGTGTTTCCCATCTCCCCGGGTACCTAATAAGTGCTCAAAAGGATTCCAATCCTCTCTTATTCTTAAAGGCTTTGGAAGCTTTCCTATAAAGTGTTTCAATTGAAAAGAACGCCACTCACCCATTCTCGTAACTTTTTTTTTCCAATTCCTTAAGTGATCCTATTTCCCCCCCCACCATTATATCCCTTAATTGTGCATCTTCCTTCTTAATCCACTTCCCTATGATACCTTCTTTACCCGGGGGGAAAAACTCTGTGGAAATCTGGGACTTCCAAGCTTATTCCCGGCTTTTATTCCTCAAAATAAATCTTAACTTTTTTGAATTGATCTAAAGTAACTTCTGGTAGTTTACTTGGTATCATTTGAAATTTATATAATATTTTTGGAACAATCACCATTTTTATCAAATTTATACGACCTATCCATGACGGGGTTCCCCCTCCTAATTTCATTAGTTCATCCCTGGTCTCATTTAACAATGGGATAGAATTCAATTTATACAAGTTCTTAGTGGATACAGTTAATTTTATTCCTAGATATTTCAATTCTTTTTCTCTCCAAACAAAAGGGAAATTCCTTATGCAACTTATTTTTCTCTCTATTTGGAAGATTTATGTTTACAATTTCTGTTTTTGTTGGGTTAATTTTTAAATTTGACATCTCCCCATATTCTTTCAGTGATTTCATTAAATTTGGCAAGGTTATCCTTGAGTTTCCCACATAGAACAGCATGTCATCTGCATAAGCTGCCACCTTATGCTCTGTATCTCCTATCCAAATTCCTTTTATATCTATACTATTCCTTATTGTAGCCAAAAGAGATTCCAATGATAAAACATATAGCAATGGAGACAAAGGGCATCCCTGTCTAGTTCCGTTCTGCATGCCAAAAAACTGACAATTCCCCATTAACCATGATTGCTGCTGAGGGTTGACTATATAATTTCCTTATCCACTCTCTCATTCTAGGTCCTATCCCCAATACTTCCAATGTATCCAACATATATCCCCAATCTACTCTATCAAATGCCTTTTCAGCATCTATAGAGAGTACCACCACAGGGATTTTCTCTTTCCTACTTTTTTGTATGAGAAACAGAAATCTCGGTCAGTTATCTCTACCCTCTCTCCCTGGGACAAAGCCTACTTGCGTATCCATTCCAACATAGGTCTTTCAACCGGTTTGCCATAACATTTGCATATAGTTTAGTATCTGTGTTTAATAAGGAAATTGGTCTGTAACTTGAACAGTGAGTATCATCTTTACCTTCCTTATGTATGAGAACTACATGGGCTTGTAGGGATTACTTCCTCATTTCCATCTCTCCTCCCAATGCATTCATATATATCCTCAGTTTAGGTACTAATAATTCTTTATATTTTTTATAATATCTCACGGTGTATCCATCAGGTTCTGGACTTTTCCCATCTATAGTGCTCTTTAATGCTAAGTGTAGTTCCTCCTGCGTTATTGCTGATTCTAGGGATTTTAATTGCTCCTCACTTCATTTTGGTAATCCTGCCTTTTTTAAGTATATCTGTCTTTTTTCTATTTTCCCTACTTCATCTTTACTTATGGAGCTGTGGGGGATAATATTGTATAGCTTATTATAATATTCTTTAAACATTTTAGCTATATCTTTAGTTGAATACATTAATTCTCCTTTGTGGTCTCTTATTTTCTCTACATCATTCCTACATTTTTTTTTTCTCTGAGCCCTCAATAAATACTTTCCTGGCCTATCTCCCCATCTGTATCTCTTACTTATTTTATTGAACACTCTCTTATCTTCTTCCAGAAATGTATTTAATTCTTCTTTTATTTATTACCCTCTACATAATCTCTTTTGTTACTTTATGTATCTGCTCTGAGTTCACTAAGAAGCGTGTTTATTTTTTTCTCTTCTTTCCCTCTTCTTTTTTTGCTCCAATCGCTATCAGTTTTCCTTATGAGCCACCCATACTGCTGCTACGGACACTTCCCCAGAATAACTTTCCTCAAAAAATTGCTCAATTTCTTTTTTAATTCTTTGATCCACCTCTGAATCCTGAAGAAGTGTCTCAATTAACCTCCATAATTTCCCCCCCGATCTGCTCATTTCCCCATAATAATTGCATTGTGACAGGGGCATGGTCCGATACTGACATAAATTCTATTTTTACTTTGATCAAAGACTCGATAAGTCGATGATCCAGCAATATATAATCCAGTCTTGAATACATCTCATATGCATGAGAATAATAAAACGTATAGTCTCTGTCCTTCATGTGCTTAATTCTCCATGTGTCTACAAGTTGACATTGAAATCCTTGAAAAAAATGATATACCAGAGACCTACTACCATCTCTCTGTACAGGGGACGTCATATCCATCTGGGGATCCATACAGAGATTGAAATCACCTGCCACAATTAAATTGCCTTTTTTGAAATCCATTAACTTTCTCAGAGTATTTTTTAGGAATACCTCCAGTTTCTTATTTGGGCAATAAATATTTGCTAATGTACATTCTATTTCCTGTAATTTTCCCTTCAGAAACAGAAACCTCCCTTCCGGATTTACCAATCTGTCTTCCATCTTAAACCTTATATTTTTCGCAAAACCTATTGCCACTCCCTTGGCACGTTTAATTGGGGAATCTGCATAAAACCACATTGGATAATATCTGGAATTTAATTTCACATTTGATTCGTGCACCAAATGTGTCTCCTGTAAAAAAAAAACCACTGAAGAAAATCTATATTGAATTTCTTTAAAAATCCCAAATCTCTTCCCAGGGATATTTAACCCTTTAACATTATAAGTCACAAAGTGAATCTCTTCCATTGTTCTCTCCACACCTCTATCTTCCCTATCTCTTCTCTCTTCCTCTTTCCTCCACATCTTCCCCTTTGGTCTCTAGGATTTCTCCAGACTGATGTTTCTCCCACTATTTCACAGAGTCTTAAACTACCTATCTCCACCCCATACCCTCTTCCCGCTGCTAAATCAGCAAAGATCTGTATATTTCTCCATATTTTATTATTTCTCAGCACTTGTTAATTGATACAGGTGAGTTTAATTACAGATTGCGAGAGCATCACAAACTTAGAATGTAATTATTTCTTACAATTTTGAGACGGTGCCAATAATTTTGTCGAGTCCATTTTTGGCGCTTTGCATGAAACGTGTAATATTTGGCTTTTTGTTTCTCTACTTTTTTTTGTGTTCTACCAACACAAAACAAA